GCTGGGCAAGACGCAGATTGGGGATATGTGGCCCGCATCTGTGGACAGCTCGAGTGAGGACAAGTCTACTTCATCGTTTAGCGAGCCTCGAGGTAAAGATTCGACATGACGCACATGCAAAGGTCAGATAGTCGAATAAGACAATGCCGATCACGAGCGTAGTCACAAAGAGCAGGAACTGCCGGTGGTTGTTTACTCCGACTAGAATGATACCATGAGCAGACATCTCGAATCAAGCACTCCTTGAACCTACCGCAATTCCAAACCCAAGGGCAGTGGCTACAGGGGGTTTTAGCGCCATGTGCACAAATCACCATACTTTCGACTTACTGATCGTGGCGGGCCACACAACGGTCACAGGTACGGCAGTGTTTTGATCGGAGCGGCTTGCGAGCCTTGCAAAATCATCGTCAGGTGCATTACAATACAGCCCGCGATTGCCCTCACCATGCATTGTATGCAGAACGTCTGGCCATTCAGACGGCCCTCCGACGCTAGCTCTTCGACGACCTACTAATAAGTTGTAGACTGCGGGACACTGAGGGGTGTGTGGCATACTTACCGACTTGAGCTCCGCATCGCTCGATGGTTTGGGGCAAACTCCCGGATCTAAACTGATTGCACGGAAGAAATTGTATGCGCATAAACCCATGTTTATAGCAAACACTAGGTGGGTGAATGCGTGCGACTGCGTCTCTGCAACCGCTTTAAGCATCCAGAACTTCGTTGAGAATTAGCAAGCTGACTTACGGTTGACTAGGCGAGTGAGCCAGCTGTATCCAACCCACATCATGGAGGCGAAGATGATACCGGCAAAGTATGGGCTTTGTGCAACACTATCGGTATAATTAGATTTATCTAGTAGCACACGAGTAACAATCTGAGAGTATGTCAGCATTCGACCCCCACCTGCAAAAAGCGACTTACATGATGCATTCCGAAGAATACGGCCATCGACAGGATTATTCCGGTGTACCATGGGAGAATCGTTAGGGTCGTAAACATGAGGAAAAATGAGATCGTGGGGAGCATGAAAATGGCAATCTTGGTATTTCTCTGAAGACGGACGGTCATCTGGGATAGTCCACGAATATGATGATGCACCACGCACATCACTGAGCGGCTTCCTCTTCTTGGAGCCGTCTTCGTTCATTCCGCCCTCCTCCAGCGCACGCTTCCACGCACCAAGGCTCTTCAATTCAATGGCCATGTCCCGCGCAGTTCTTCCCTCTCCATCTTTCGCGTTAATATCTGCGCCACTCTCAATAAGTCGACGAATGCAAACGCGGTTGCCCCTGACAACCGCCCAGTGGAGCGGCGTCAGTCCAGCGTCATCGACCGTATTCGCATTCGCCCCGTTCTTGAGGAGGAGGTCCACCGATAGGGCGTCGCCCTGATACGCAGCCCACATGAGCGACGTGTGCCCCTGCGAGTCGCGCGAATCGACGTTGATCGGCTGGTGCAGAAGGTAGAGGAGCGGCATCACAGACGACGAGTGGGTAACGAGGTGCAGAGTATTGTAGCCCTGCGCATCGGTTATGGTAGGATCCGCATTGTGGGCGATGAGCAGCTGAATAACGTAGAGGTACCCGTTGCGCGCGGCCCACTGCATGGGCGTCGCGACGAGGTCCCCACCGAGCGCATCGACCTCCGCGCCCTGCTCCAGCAGGTACCTACACGCTGCGACTTGCGCATTGATCGCCGCCCAGTGGAGCGGCGTGATGTTCTGCTCGTCCCTGTCGGTCGCTTTGGCGTTGCCAGACTCTATGAGCTCGCGGATGGTGTTGACATCGCCGCGCTGGGCTGCAAGGAATATATTGGCCTGTACTCAATGATGCGAATGATACTCGTCAGAAAGAACGTATGGTACAAGAACACGGTGCTCGCCTCCGGCTCCTGCATGGTCTGGCCATGGGGCAGTTGCGAGAACGTGGTGTGCGTGCCCGACACGGAGGCAGGGGTCACGGCTGTTGCAGACGGCTCAGCCTTGGAGCCTGCGAGGGATGTGTGCTCGTCCATGGTACTGGGAGAGATTGCTCGCCCAAAGGCGACTGACGGCGGTGGAGAGTCGGGACGTGAAGTCAGTGGTGGGCTGCGCGGACGCAGCCTCGGCAAAACGGGCGGTGCGCACCACGTGTGCCTCACCGGTCCCGCCTTTCGATCTAGTCCGGTCTGGTTCGCACTGCAGAATGGTTCGACTCGCTGCCGGTGATGTTGTCACTACATATATATTAAATTCTGCTTCGCAACTTCCCTGGTTTCATGACATATTTGATGCACTCTACATACACTGGTCGACGTACGTAGGAATATGTTGCGATTTTTCTCATGTCCAACCAGAAAATAGCAGCAGCGAGCATACAGACGTTGACGCATCTGCTGATGCGGCACAGTAGTTGCACCAGTATTATATGAACTTGACCAGTCTGATATTTCCCATCATCTACAGCACCGACGTCGTCGTGATGCACACAGCAGTCCCATCAACAGAGGATCATCAAGATTGGTGTTGTTATAAGCAGTCACGAGTGCTGTTTGTTGTCTTGAATCCTGGGTCTGTTCCTTGCAACCACCATCCAACTTGGATGCCGTGAGCTGAGTGCGCAGGTCAGGCCATTGCCTAGGAACTGCCAGCTGTCATCTCGATCCACCTCACTCATCTTCTGTTCGTCGCACTCCGTCCGTCTTCGGGACTATTTGTCGACTTCTTTTGCTGCGGTGCAGACGCCTTTTTCTATTCATCCGTCTTCTCTGGCAGCCCAACGTCTGCACTTGACCACTACCGGCTATTCTCCTTGGACCATTTCCTCGACCCAACAATGACTTCGCTGGAGGTCGCTCCAGGACCCATTTCAGTCCAGGATGGCTTGCAGGGTGCTCTTTTCGGCAGCTCGCCGCGCAGGCGAGCCCCCAGCAACCCGAAGCCTATCTCACCAGGAGGATCTCTCGCGAAGACACAGGATCCTTTACCGAAAATCTTGCCGAAGACCTCGTCGACTAGACGGCAACCTCATGCAGGGGCCAATGTGAAGAGGCCCGATAGCCCGGACTTGGGGACAATCCTCGCAAACACCCCGCGACCGAGACGACGATCGGCTGCTGCCGTGTCTCCTGCGAACCGTATTCGCTCCCGTACCAGTTCTATCGTAGGTGCCCCCTTGAATTGGAAAGGAAAGATCGAGGAGGGTTCGTCCGGCCTGGAGTCTACTCTCGGGGTGGGCGAGGATTCGGATGACAACTTCCGGTTGGGTGATGACGGAAGCGAATCCGATTCTAGCATCGACTTGCACACACCTTTACCGTGAGTTCTCAGCAGCCTCTGGCATTGACCACCGCTTATTGGAATGTTCCAGACATCTCATGTTCCGAGATGGCCTACTGTCTCCTCGTTCGAAGCTATTGCCTAAGGGCCTCGCGTCAGTGTCCTCTTTCCCTAACCTGGCCGAGGTAGAGGAAGAGGAAAGTGGGCTTGATCGTTCGCACAGTGTGCTCAGCGTGGTCTCAAATGGTAAGTGCGACATTTTCGTCGGCTTGCGTTCGCATCCAACCGTGGCTTCCAGCCGGTTCGGTCATGACAAAATCAGGATTGCTGTACAAGGACCCTCGCGACACCACCAGAAGACGGTTACGGCATCGTGACGGCCACCTTTTGAAACAAGGTATGGGCCTAACAACGGGACTGGGCTGGAGTGACAGGTGAGGTTCTCGTCTGATGGACACGGTCAAGTGGTCTGAACATATGCGTTGTAGTGAAGACGAAGATGCACCATCCACACTAACTCGTCGTCTAATCCAGACTTCTATTGCCCGGCGCCCATCCACTTCACTTTCTTCACTTTCACGCCCGTCGTCGGAGTTTTCCAGGGATTCGATAGTAGCAGCATCTCCTTTCCCAATCTTGCCATCGTCTCGCATGGCGTCTGGCCCTCTACAGAGGTCTGCCTCTGTGTCCTTTTCGTCTCTCAGGCGACCTACCGCCGTGGGCCCTCCTTCGTCTGTTGACATCACACCATTGCGCAATCGATCTGTGTCGTCTGCACACCCCGGCCTCACATCGCTTCCTCGGACCACGACGAATGGGAACACTGCTTCCAGTTCGTCCGGCCTCCCTTCCATGCGTAGGAATTCCCGTCTACCGAAGTCGGCCGAGATGCGGGATATTCTGTCGAGGCACAAAGCGCAGCCGTCCTTATCTGGTAGTACGAGCTCCCTCGCATCTACTGCATCGACTACGTCTGCTGCACCTGTCCCAGCGGAGTCTCTCAGCAGTCAAAATATCAGAGCCGCCCTGGCCCCGAATCCATCCGATGAGCTGACGTACAATCGGGCTCGCACGCTGTCTGCGACATCTAGCATGAGTACCGCTTCCGTCTACTCGTCAACTACCTCCGGATCCGGATCGTCCACCAGCACTGCCTCTGGCTCAGGTAGTACGACATCTGGCATACGCCCCCTGCGCCTCCCCCAGGCAGCTGCGGCACGCTTGAGCGGGATCGGCATCGTTCCCCCCGCGGGGTACTCCGCCCCAAACCAGAGTGGGCCGCACCCCACCCACAGACACACCCGTACGCTATCAACTTCACGCTCGTTTTCCAATGCTCTACCAAAGGTTTCCCAGCCTCCGTCATTTACAAGCATCTCCTCTCCTGTATCACCTACTGACTTCCCGTTGTCGTCCCCGTCCCCGTCGCCATCGCCATCACCACGTTCGCGGCCGTTGATAGCGGGTCCGCGCCCGAAGCCCCGCACAGGCACAGGAATGGTCTATCGGACGTCGTCCTACTCCAGCCTGCAGGGAGCAGCGATGCGGATTCGCAGTCCGTCTGTGCTCTCGTCTAGCGCAGATGGTGAAGTCATATTTTGATCGGGCGAGAAAACGCACGACGCAGCACGCGCTGGTCGTTGTGCTTGAGGATACCCATCTAGTTCTGTTTTGTTCTCGTGCCCCCTTCACAGTGCATTTTTCACACCCTCGGCAGGTCTTGATCTATCTTTTTGTGCTCACTGCTCGCGCTGGTCACACTGCTATGCCGCAATATACACGGGACCCTAGGGAATCTCATCACTCTCATTTATGACTGTATTTATTTTCGGTTGCTGCATGTCTGCACCGGATATGGATTTTGCATTTGAGTATTCAATTTGATTAGGTACTTGAGTACGGATTATTAACTGTCGGCGAACAGGCGGAGGCTAAGTACTGTCGTTGTGAAGGGCGAGCGAGACAGCATCTCGGCGTCTTGAAACGCCATACATAAATCCGCGGCACGGTTAGTTCATTAAATTATGAGTAACCGGCCGGCGGCCGGCAATTCACTCTTCAGCCTCTTTATTCTTGATTCAACTTCGCCGCACTCAATTTGCGTCAAGCTTTCAAGACTCGAGCTTGAAGATTGAGCGCCATATGATCAGTAATATCAAACATGATGAATTTCAATCGCAAATCAATGGAATCGCTCGGATAGCTCGAAGGACAAATGCAAGATGCGGATCATGAACTACCTCCCGGATAATTTAGTCTCTCAGTTTCTCAGAGCATCCGGGTCGTTGGTATTTGCCATTCGAGCGCTACTCGGTTGGCGATAAAATCATCACTCCGTTGGATTACATCGCCGTGTCTAAAAGAGTGATATTCTCACTGGAGCCACAGGTACGTAGTGATGTCTCTTGAGTGAAAGGTGCGTTGACGCCTCCTCGAACGTCTAAGCGCAATCAGGTTCGTCATCACCGTTCTTGTGCGTTCTGCGGAGAAGGCGACGTTATTGCAGGATAAGTTCGGCGTCAGGATGGTTATCGGGACGCATGAAGAACTCGATAAGCTCGAGATGTTGGCCGAGCAGATGTACATTGTGCTCTCATGTGTAAGCTATGGACTTTATCATATGCGCCCTAATAACTGAGGCTATCTTATAGGCCGATGTTGATAACCTTGACGTGGCTGAGGCAATTTTGCGGGGTATGCGAAGGAGGCGTGCCACGATAAGAGATCCGCCCACCACCGTTCATACGGTCAGTGAATTCAATAAGGTGTACTCACATTTGCTGAACTTTCAATTGTCATCGTGTGTTATGTAACAAATTGGAACTGGTATGTATGATTTGTTATCTATCTGCGTATCATGCTGTTAAGAATGCAGGCGTCATCTCCAAAGATTCTAAGAGAATGGCTACTTCCTACTCAGACATGGATGTCGAACAGATGAAAGCAATTCCGCCCACTGCGCCGCATCAGAATATTGATCTAGCGGTAATTGATGCGGATCGACAAGGTATATAGACCTGTCTGTTCGTTATGAAGAATGTCGATCACAGCCTATTTATCCAGGGTATGCCCGGACATGTATCATTCTTCCGTCGAACATTTTCGATGCCGGCATCTCCAATGCATTCTCCATCAGGATCCCCGATCTCACCTGTGCTTCAAGCAGAGCGGTGCCGTCGGACTTGGAAAAGCGTTGTGGCCGGATGTGCACATTGACGATAGTAAGCCCTTCACGGTTATGTAGTGTACATAAACATAGACTATATTTATATCCCCTCAGTGGTAAATCTCCATCCCACGCCCTCCGACAGAATCACAAACGACAGCGAAGGCATGGGCCGTGGCTAAGAAGGCTTCTGCTTTGTCGAACATGGGGAGCACTCTTGATACGGCGTCAGTAAATCCGTCTCTCGAGCTCTGGTCGAACTTGAAATCGGCGGAACCGATGAGCCGAGCACGTTCACTGCGGAGGAACTGCCAGGAATACTGGAAATGCGTTGGAAACAGGCGTAGTTGGAGGGCGGAGTAAAGCTTACGATGAGCTGACGTGATGTGAATGTCCTGCACAGTACCACACTTTGGATAATTGTACGAGTTGCATCGAGTAATGTCCTTGTGCTGAAATCAGCCAATTAATTTCGTGTGATGATTTACGGTCGATCGCTCTCACAGGCGTCTACAAGCCGGTGGGACGATGGCGCCGGGTTTGGCTCGTCTGTCACGACTTTTGAGCTCACTCGAGCTTTCGTGTAGCCTGGTGCAACCCTGGACCTGCCCGCTTGTTTCTCTGGCTGTGTATTTTCGGCCGTACTATGAGCATGAGCAAATGTACGCATTGGATGGCGAACAAAGGGTTTATCCGAGCCAGCTCCATGATCTATTCACGGGAATTATACATATGTACAACTTTCCGGAACGCTGAATGCGGCAGGCCGCCCCTGATATTTATCTCGGTCAGCTTGCGGCTCGGCTGCTGCTCCCTTGTTCGCGTACCCTTAAGTGCAGCACGCTAATCGCTTCCATCACCGAGTCGGCGAGTTCACCAAAATGACCGAGTCAACCTCTCAGACCAAGATCTTCCTTACAGGGGCTACAGGTCTGCTTATTCCTGATTATGCACAGTCATATAAGTTTGATTATTTTCATCGTTCGCAGGTTACATCGGCGGATCTGTGCTGGACCGCCTCCTCCACCACCCCAGCGCCGACACGTTCGCTATTACCGTCTTCACCCGATCTGCAGAGAAGGCGAAGCTGCTGGAGGAGAGTTTCGGCGTCAAAGCCGTCGTCGGGACGCACGCCGATCATGACAAGCTCGAGGCGCTTGCGGAGGAGTCTCATGTAGTCTTTTCATGTGTGAGTCGCTTCAAATATTAGGGTGTCTCTGAGAGATGTGACGGGCTGACACGATGTCTGCTACGGGTGTAGGCCGATGCAGACGACCTTCCTGCTATCGAGGCGATCTTGCGGGGTCTGCGGAAAAGACATGCGTCGATTGGTGATCTTCCAATATTCATCCACACGGTGGGCAGATGATTATATGGTTGATTGGGTAGTGCTGATGGTTATCGGATTCAATGTTCCTCTCGCTTACGACAGTCGGGAACGGGTGTCATTTCTGAACCGGCGAAGGGCATGTTCGCGTCGGAGACTGTCTACTCAGATCTGAACGTCGAGCAGATCAAATCCATTCCGCCCACTGCGCTACACCGGAACGTAGATCTTGCGATTGTCGATGCGGATATCCAGGGTGTGTAATGTTCTACCATATCCCCAATCTCACAGTTCTGATATGTTCGTTTTAGGTTATGCGCTCACTTATATCATCCTTCCGTCTACTATCTACGGCCTTGCCACTGGACCACTGGTTGATGCGGGTATCTCCAATCCCCAGTCCATTCAGATCCCCAACATCATCCGCGCCTCGATCGACAGGAAGCAAGGGGGTGTGGTCGGCTTGGGCAAGGCTTTGTGGCCAGATGTTCACATTGACGATGGTAATCATTTCCCACTCATGTAGGACAGTCACTCAACCTCAGCGATTTGACTAGTGGCGGATCTGTACATTGTGCTTTTCGACGCAATCACGCGAGACAATAAGGGGATTGGTCATGGCTGGGAAGGCTTTTACTTTGGCGAGAATGGTGAGCACTCGTGGTACGATATCAGCAAATCTATCTCGGTGGCATTCGTCGAGCTGGGTATTGGCGGCACGGACAGCCCGACGTGCTTCACGACGGAAGAACTGATCAAGTACTGGGGCTCCGAGGTTCGTATCAATTGTTAGATGGATGTAAGTACACACGGATTGATTCGTTTGTCACCTGCAGGACAAAGGCAATTATAGCGGGTCCAACTCGCGCTGCCGAGCAGACCGAGGTCGATCGATTGGCTGGAAGCCGACAAAAACTACGACAGACATGCTGAAGAGTATTAAACCTGAGGTAGAGCTACTGTGGAAGAAGGCACAGGCCGGAGGTGGCGTGAAGCTGTCGAGCTCACGGTAAACTGAGCTGAGTTCCTCCCAAGTCCCTACTGGCGTAGAAGAATATTATTGTGTATGATATTGACTCGGCAGCTTCTTAAATTGAAGCAGCATACATGCTTGAATCCCGCATATCCGGGCTGCGCCAATTACTCAGACGGCGATTGTTGCATAGCCAGTGTGGATAAAACTAAGAATAGCTATACGGCTATACGAACCAGACGGCGAGCATTACAAGATTGCAATTCATCACTGAGAGCATGCATTAGAATCCCCTCGGGATCCTTGGATCTCGTGGGATACTGTTCTGAATACGCGGCCTCAACGTTGACGTATGCGCCGGTCATCGAGAATTTCAACGCTGAATGGTATGTGTTCATTTATCCCTCATCTCTGTCTCGAATATGTGTTCTGCCATTCTGGATAACAACTTAGGAGCAGACGATGTGCAGCGAATAGTTGAAAGCGCACAACCGTCGATACGGTTGACCCCATGTCGATAGACTATGAATCGGGCTGAGCTCATCATTGGCATCCTTAGGACATTGGTATCGATGCTCCTTGCCATTTATGCGGTCAGTTGAAGCTTTTATGCTAACAATTGATGCCTGTATGCGAACAGGTATAAGTGCGTATTCTGCTAGATCTTTAGAAGTGTATTAAGAATTCATCAAACTGACTAAATATACAGGTCAAAAGCCATTCCCGAAGAGCGTTTGCGCACCATAGCCGTTCAATTAGCTAAAGACCGATGAAGATGACACTAAATGTTTCCGAGCTTCAAGCCTGAAGCGGAGGTTGAGCTATCATCTACGGAGGTACGGAAGGGCAGCGACCTGTAGTTGCTCCTGAGCTCCCCACAATATGCACTCGCTGAAGCATCGGACGAAGTATATGGCATGGTGTGAAGAGTTCTAAACTATGACGACAGGCGTCCTCGCTAGACTGGCTTCTAAGTCTCGACTCATCAAACTGAACACATCTGGTCACCAGAACGCGTCTGTATGGCTAGAGATAAGGCAACATTTAGTACCATAGCGATACATCTAACGCTCGAGGTTGGTCATCCGGAGGCGCTCCTCTCAGAACTCGATGCATAGTAACGGCTTCCAAGCAAACTGCCCCCCAGAATCTCGCATTCATGTCAGCTTCAAAAGTTGCGATCTCTCTGACTGGTGCTACAGGTTCGTCCGCGTGTGTTATGAGCTCCTTAATAGCGTTAAATTGAACATGTTCAGGCTATATCGGCGGATCCGTGCTCACCCGCCTCCTCCATCACCCCAGCGCTGCCACGTTCGACATTACCGTCTTTGTTCGATCTGCAGAAAAGGCCAAGCTGTTAGAAAAGAAATTTGGCGTCAAAGCTGTCGTCGGGACACATGCTGATTCTGACAAGCTTGAAGCGCTTGCGGAGCAGTCGCATGTCGTCTTCTCATGTGTGGGTTACACATTCGAACAGGACCTGCCCGAGCCTATAGCGAGACAATTGACGTTGATTATGTTGGCTGTAGGCTGACGCAGACAACCTTCCTGCGATGCAAGCGATACTACGTGGGTTGCGTAAGAGACATACGGCAACTGGAGACGTTCCTATTCTCATCCACACGGTTTGTGAAATTTCCTGGAGATTGGTTAGATCAGAATCCTGACTTCTAGAGTATTCAATGCTGGGAATAGTCCGGATCAGGTGCGCGGCTTGTGAATGAGGCAATGCTATTTTCTCATGCAAGAATGTGCAGGTACCGTCTGTGAGATGGCTGGCGGCATGTTCGCATCGGAGACCGTATACTCCGACATGAATGTCGACCAGATCAAGTCCATTCCCCCCACAGCGCCACACCGGGCGCTGGATCTTGCGATTGTGGACGCAGATATCCAAGGTGCGCGTTTACTGTCATACCCACCCGTGTCAAATTGAGGGAATCTGATGGGTTTTATTACTCACTGGCAGGTTATGCTCGGACATATATCATCCTACCCTCTATCATCTATGGCATTGCATCAGGTCCCTTGATTGATGCAGGGATATCGAACCCGTTCTCTATGGGTATTCCCATCGCTGTTCGAATTGCATTCGCTAGGGGACAGGTAGGCATGATCGGTACAGGAAAAAATTCATGGCCAAACGTCCACATTGATGACTGTAAGCTGTCTGGGCTTGCTGTTGCGCCGCAGAGACTGACCGTGGTCCTCGTCAGTGACAGATTTGTATATCGGAATCTTTGACGCAGTCATGAAAGACAGGGAAAGCATAGGCCACGGCTGGGAAGGCTTCTACTTTGGCGAGAATGGCGAACAACCGTGGTACGACGTGTATAAGGCCATTGCACAAGCGCTCGTCGAATTGGGGATCGGCAAGTCAGGCGAGCCAACGACATACACGACCGAGGAAGTGATAAAATATATGCGCTCCGCGGTTGGTTTAATTTAATTATCAGGGATAGCATCAGAGGCTTACCTTAGCAATGGCTTCCCGACACTGCAGGGGGTTGGCGATTATATGGGAGCCAATTCGCGCTGCCGAGCAGATCGCGGTCGTTCGATTGGCTGGAAGCCGAGCAGGACGTCAGAGGATATGCTGAAGAGCATTAAGCCCGAGGTGGAAATACTGTGGAAGAAGAAGCTACAGGATGGTGCATAATTATCGATGTTCTGATAATTGGAAGGGGTGAGAGAGCAATATGGTTCCTGGGCGTGTTGATCTACATGTACGATAGAATGCCGTCTTTGCTTGAAATGCATGTTGTAGATTAGCGAGCTCCCGTGTGCTGTCGCGAGTGTATTGCATGAACGACTGGCACAGCGCATTGAACGCACCTTTCAAACTTTCATGCCAGCGAAGACTGACGAAATCGATTCAGATAACCCTGTCATGATACTACGCGTTTGAACACTACTAATCGAAGGAAAGCAGTTGCGCGTGCTTAAATCTTGTGCGGCTGAGGCTTCGTCTCGCGACGACGGACCTTGTAAGTACTGTGTCTCAATACGTGACCCTAGAACTAGAGCCAGATTTTCTGTACAGGGAGCATCGACATGGGCAACGTTCAGATCAACAAGAGACACAATCGGATGACGGCTCCACAAGACATTGTAGCTTTGCGGCTGGAGCAATGCAGGATAGTGATACGATCTACTAGGTTTGTGTCGTCCCTTGAGATTACAGTAGAGCTGATAGCTGTGTGCACCATGATGACCGATCATATCATTCAAGTAGGCGATTCTCGGATCATCCACACTTACTAGTGCTAATAAGAGTTGAACGAGACCGATATTCGCATTTCAGATATGAACCCCCTCGTGTATGCTGTAGTGCCACAAGGTGATTGATGCCTGGAAGAGAAACGAGCCAAATATCTTTCGTTTGTCCGGAGCGGGAATAGCGGCACCAGGAAGAACATACTTCTTCATGTAGCGAGCGTGATCTAAGATAATCCACACGTATATCCAGCGATCCGACTGCTTGGATTTGAAGAGCTAAGCACCATCCAGAGAAAGCAAAAGCCAGACGTCATCAGCAATATCATCATGAGCGACGGCTGACAAGCAAGCCTCTCCGTGAAAAAACATTCTCGCAGTTTTGAGCACCCTCATTATTTTTGAGGAAAGCGCCATTGAGCTTGAATTTGTGAGCCTAGTATGAGGGTATCGAATGTTTATCGAGGAACCCGTTTTCCTTCGCGTGCTAAAAAAAATACTGGTCGTACCAATGTTCTCCACACCCAGGTAGACGGAGTTTGTCTGTAAATGGTCCTGTCACAGTATATGCAACACACATCTTGGGACGTCTCGATGACACGTGGAGAAACTCCAGTAAGTTCGACGATCGTGCTGCTTGGTTGATAGAACGAAGAGATGTTCACATTAGGAGAGCGTCGCATTGTTACTTTGCGAACGTGTCGTATGCTTCGCACGATGCAACACTAGACGTTGGGAACAAGTCCAGCGCAAGGCGGAGGTCAGGGACATTCGGACTAGCAGCTTGTGTAGGTAGTTGCCTCAAGCGCAGCAGAACGGATGTCCGGTTCAAGACATTCTTCATCCAGAGAAGCAACACGTAAAGCCGAGACGAACACGATGGCAGTCCACAGTTCTTCTATTTGAGCAATAACACTGCTAGTCTCAAAAGGACTGTATTGAGCGATATCGTCTTCTTGAGCCCGCTCCTCTGCTTCGGGCCCACGCACTCCAACGGCTTGATCTCGGACTGGTCATCATGAGCATTAGGGATAAGAGTATTGAGATTAAACACAGGCTCGGGTACAGGAGGTAGAGTTTTTGCTTTTTCAGACAACCTTGCAGCCGCATTCACGGCAATGGTTTAGTTTTGAGGACATCGTCGGTCGCATAGGCAAGCACATTATATTATAGAGTATCCGCGAGTACAAGATCAACACCAATAGGCGCCCGCGCCGTTGAACTTTTACCATTTCCTTCCAATGTGCACGTTTATGTCCTCCGTTCCAAGATTGCCAGTGCGAGTGCGAACACAAGACTCTTCAATTGTACACCAGTGTTTTTTCTGAACCCACGGACTTGGACCGGCTTCCCGCTCCTACTCCCATGACTCAGCTTACCAGTGCAGACCTTCGAATTCTCGTTCTTAATCCTTTCAGAAAAAAACGCCGAATATACTGGCCATGGGTCCGGGGACTTCCACCAGAACGGAGAACATTCGTGGTAAGTACGGAATGAGCGAGGCGATTGCGCAAGCATTTGTCAACCTCGGTACTTTATTGGTGAGGACCGGCGGGCGGGCATCTGGAATTCAGATATGGCTAAGTACCAGTTATACGCGATGGTACTCATAGCATCTTTTAGATGCATTCAGCGAGTCCGACTGTCTCAGGTGGTATGCTTGCTCATTGGCCCGGCAAGCACTGTTGAATGGGTTTGAAATTGGACCCTTTGCGAAGAGCACCTTTTCGGTGGCTTCCTCCTTCCTGATGTAGGCGGCTTTGAGCCATACCGTCGGCTAACAATAATCCTCCCTCAGATGGACAGACCGAGCCGACGACGGTCATGGCTGGCTTGATCAGGTACACGGATCCCGAGATTTGTCCTATTCGATTGCCGTCACGTATAAGGCCTTTGATAGGTTATGCATCAGGAAAGAGACCATCTCCGCGGAGCGAGTGCGCACTGTGGCCGTTCAATGGGTTAGGGACCGATCAAGACAATGCGGCGCATTCCGAGCATCAGGTCCGAACCTGAGGTGGGGTCATTATCGACGAAGGTACACACAGCAACCCGCAGTTGTCTTCGAGCTCACGATATGCGCTCACCGAAGTATTGACAAAGCATAATTGGTATGGTGTAATCAGTTCCAGGCTATGGCGGCAAGGTGCCCTCGTCTGGCATGGCTCAGCGTCAAGTCTCAATCTATCAAAATGGACACATTTGGTCACCAGAAGTCGGAATGCTTCTGAATGATGGACCAGCTATTGCAAAAAAAGATTACAACAATCAAACACTATGGCGATGATATTTAAGCCTCAATCATCCGGAAGCGCACCTCCTAGAACTCAGTGCGGAGCGACGACTTCCAAGCAAACTGCCCCAAAGATCTAGTATTCATGTCAACTTCAAGGGTCGCGATCTCTCTGACTGGTGCTACAGGTTCGTCCGCGTGTCCTGGACGCTCTCAAGTAGCGCGAAATTGACTATGTACAGGCTACATCGGCGGATCCGTGCTCACCCGCCTCCTCCATCACCCCAGCGCTGCCACGTTCGACATTACCGTCTTTGTTCGATCTGCAGAGAAGGCCAAGTTGTTAGAAGAGAAATTTGGTGTCAAAGCTGTCGTCGGGACACACGCTGATTCTGATAAGCTCGAAGCGTTTGCAGAGCAGTCGCATGTCATCTTCTCATGTGTGAGTTACACATTCTGACAGGACCTGCCCAGGACTATAGCGAGACAATTGTCATTTATTTTGGCTGTAGGCTGACTCAGACAATCTTCCTGCGATACAAGCGATACTACGTGGGTTGCGTAAGAGACATACTGCAACTGGAGACGTTCCTATTCTCATCCACACGGTTTGTGAATTTTCCTGGACTGGTTGGATTGGAATCCTGACCTCTAGAGTATTCAATGATGGGAATAGTCCGGATCAGGTGCGCGGCTTATGAATGGGGCAATGCTATGTTCTCATGCAAGAATGTGCAGGTACCGTCTGCGATATGGCCGGTGGCATGTTCATATCGGAGACCATATACTCCGATATGAATGTCGACCAGATCAAGTCCATTCCCCCCACAGCGCCACACCGGGCGCTGGATCTCGCGATTGTGGACGCAGATACCCAAGGTGCGCACATAATGTTGAATAAAGAGAAATCGGATAGGTTTTCATTACTCGCGGGCCGCTGGCAGGTTATGCTCGGACATATATCGTCCTGCCCTCTGCCATCTATGGTATTGCGTCAGGACCCTTAGTTGATGCGGGGATATCAAATCCGTTCTCCATTCCGATTCCTGTCGTCGTTCGAATCGCATTTGCCAGGGGAGAGATGGGCATGGTCGGTGCGGGAAAGAATTCGTGGTCAAATGTCCACATCGACGACCGTACGCAGTCTGGGCTTGCTTTTGCGCTGTAGAAACTGATCATGGTCATCGTCAGTGACGGAGCTATACATTAGAATCTTTGACGGGGCCACGAAAGACAAGGAGAGTATAGGCCACGGCTGGGAAGGATTCTACTTTGGCGAGAATGACGAACACCAGTCTCTCGAGTTGTGTAAGACCATTGCACAAGTGCTTGCCGAGTTAGGGTTAGGCGGATCAGGCGAGCCGACGACGTACATAACGGGGGAGTTGACCAAATATGTGGGCTCCGAGGTTTGTTTTATTCAATTATCAAGGACGCATCAAAATCTTACCTCAGCGATGGCTTCAGGACATTAGCCACTTTTTAGGAGCCAATTCACGCTGCCGAGCAGATCGCGGTCGTTCGATTGGTTGGAAGCCGAGTAGGACGTTAGAGGATTTGCTGAAGGGCATCAAGCCCGAGGTGGAGGCACTGTGGAAGAAGCAGCTACAGGATGGTGCGTAATCATTAATATACTCGTAGATGGAATGTTATATTCGCTTGATATGTATGTTGCATGTTGTTCACGGGCATATTGCGTGAACTACTGACACAGCGCATCCTGTGAAAGTTTTCGAATCGATTACCGAATACATACTTTTTCATTCACGATGATCGGTCAGGATTAATTCAGAGAAACTGGAACTGGTAGTCTCGGGCCCACATGCATGCAAGTGTTTTGGGGACAACAAACCAAACACCGTTTGAAGAACTGGATGTACATAATTAAATTTAGTACAGAGTAAACCTCCAAACAGCGAATAATTGGAAGTATCGACGTCGAACCGCCGTGAGCTTGCAGGTGCCACCATAAATGAAACCGCGCGCAGCCAGACATGACGTGTGTCGTACTCGCCGCACTTGAGATCTAAAATCAGCAGGTGCGCTGGTTGCAAGTAGAGATAGTGCACATGCCCCATCTCATGAGCAGAAGCCTGACATCCAGTTCGATTCAGACATCATCATCGCAATGGCGGTCATCTGACGGGACCTTCGCACTGAGCGCGTGGGGACGGTGAGGTCCCCCGTCAACTTCCCATTCTTACGTTTATTTTGCTCGCAACAGCGGCCGAATACTACGCGCTATGCATGATGTCGGCACCCTGGACTAGAAAACACGCTAATGGTGAGCGGAGACGACGACGGCGACGACGGTGCGGCGACATGTTGGGAGAGGAAGGAGTACGTACCGCCTGCGCCGCCTTCGGATTCGGGTGATCTCTCATAGCCACCCGGACCCGTGTTGCTGGTGCACGTCTGTCCAGTCTTCCGGGCGACCCAAGGCTCTGGCAACGACGAAGGGGCTCCCGCAATGGCCACGCCCTCCCCGCATGCCATCCGTATCTCGCCTCCCCCTCCGCCCCATGTCTGCACAGTCCGATGAACTCACCCGAGTCGTCTGCGGTGCGTTTGACTCCCTTTCGGCCGCACGCAAGGCTCGTCTATTGCTAGACATGTCGCTCTCACTTATTGATACTGGACGGTGCGTTGCCTCCTTCAGTGCGAAGCTGGACTAACTTGAGACGCCCCGTCGCAGGTACGGAGATGAAGTCGAACAGTACTTGGATGTGTATTTGCGTACGCCAAGCTTACCCAAAGCAGACATAACAGCAGCTCTACTGGCTCGCGGAAACGCTCGCAAAGCTGCTGCAGAGCGTCTCTTGGTCCAAGCGCAAGAGGGTACGTCGCTTGCCTTCATCTCGGAAAGGCCAGCTTATCAACCCTCTGTACAGATTTCTCGGCGGTTGCTAGACTTGATCCCGTACGCCCTGCCGTTCTAGGATCTTCACGAAGAAACCATACGGTGGGTATTCACTTGCTCTTCCTTGCTATGACTTTCATAGGATGTTCGTTATAATCGTGCAAAGGGAGTCACGATAGAACACTTGGAAACACAGCTCGGTAGGAGACTCGAGCTGTGTGTCAAGTGTTGCCAACTCAGTCGGTCTGTGCCTGAATCCAAATGTTTCAAGATTCTCCATGTTGGATTTCGCGTCGTGATTAAACCTCCACGACTACCTTCCTCCTTCATCTATGGCAACGAAAACATCCGTGACTGGCTATTGTGGATTCATCCGAGTGCCTCAGTCTCAGTAGTCAGCCGAGAATTTCTGTCTCGCTGAAACTAGGCATTCTCGTCCGCTGAGCTTCGGTATTCTTATAGATCCACTTCGCGCAAGAACCTGCCTCCCGCCGTGCTCCTTTGGAGATCTGGGAACACATAGCACACTATATCCCGCGCCATCACCTTCGAACATGGCTCTTCGTATCTCCGTTTCATCGCAACATTGCCTCGCGTCAGATCTTCCATTCAATAGATATCTACTTCGGAGAGGACCAAGATAACGTCAATCGAGGATTAGACATCTTCGACCGTGTGAAGGCGGATTCTGTGTTCGCGAAGCGAGTGAAGAGCCTGAGGCTACATTGGGCTTACGAGGAAGGCGACATCCTGGACCTAATGTTGAGTAAGCGAGGGTGCTGTCATTCAATCACGATATAGGCTGAGCCTTCACTCTGCAGGGCTCTTCCGCACAGCAATACCTGCCTTCACAGGTCTGCACGAATTCGAATGGATTGGATACCCAGAAATGCGCGCAGATATAGTGCAAGCAGTCCTCGCTAGCCATCCCCGCCTCCAGAGCCTCGGACTGATTGGATGGCATTTCGACGCCGTCGGCGTGGTACGTTCTGCCTCCTGTGCCTGTTCCGCACTCACCGCGCACCTAGTCCGCGTTCCGCGACCTGCGCAAGTTCTGCCTGCGCGCAGAGGACGACGACGGGCTCGCCGACATGTGCGAGGTGCGGGCCGTGCTCGACCGCAACGCCCGCACGCTGCGCCACCTGACACTCGGCGCGCACCTGCACCGCCCGCACTCGTGGGACGGCGCGTTCGCGTCCGCGACGCTGCGCAGCCTGACGCACCTCGACCTCGTCGACACGCGCCTCTCGCCCGCCGTGCTCGCACGCATCACGCACGCGCGCGCGCTCCGTACGCTCACACTGCACGGCACGCTCGACGACCCGGCCGCCGCACGCGTGCTGTTCGCGAGCGACCTCTGGCACGCCGCGGACGGGCAGCACGAAGTGTTGCCCTGGCTCGAAGCGTTCCGCTTCGTCATGGTCGGACACGACTTTGACACCGCGCTCTTCGAGGCCGTCGTGCGCTTCGTGGGACATCGCCCACGGTTGAGGCGGCTCGACCTGGGGAGCTGCCCGTGGGACCTCGTGCGCGACGCACTACCAGGGCTGACTGGCCTGCGCGTGCTCCGCGTGCAGATGGCGTCGATCGACAGCGCAGCCGCGGCCGAGCTCGTGCTGGCGCTTCCGCGCGAGATGGTTGCGCTGCACGTCGCCGCGGCCGTGTCGCTCGCTCCAATAGTGAGTTCGCCTTTGTGGCAGCGAGCCAAGCGTCGCGACTGACCGGTTTGTGCGCAGAGCGACTGTGCCCCAGCGTTCCGCCGCCTGTCTTCCCTCTCGATGCTGCACCTCCGCGTGCTCCCCGCGCACCGCCCACAGCCAAACCTCCTCTCTGAAAAGGAGTTTGCGCTGCAGACCGAGCGTTGGACTGCGGGCGTGAGCGCGGTCGCGCGTGCGCTCCCTTCGCTGGACTTTGTTGGCTGGCACGGCGAGCACTACGTTGTCGTCCGCACCCAGTCGGGCGCAAGCTATCCATCGAGAGTTGAGCTGGAGCAGCTGCCCGAGCGGCGGAGACTAGATTGTGGGAAGGGTGTGGACCTGGGGAGTGAGGACGCGGCATGGATGGAGAGGAAGGATGTACCGATAGACTACGATATGACTGGGACGGAATCATCACATATGCATTGGTGAATACAACATACCATCGCGCCTGGACTGCAGAATCGCACCTCGTTCCAGGGTGCACGAATGCATCTTCTCGAAGGGGGTGTTCCATCAGTCTCGCGCGGTGATCCAGGCCGGGGGACATGTAAGAAACTCGCTAAAAGTACAATGCGTACATACGGACAAGGGCATACTCGACAATGCAATGCAATACCATCATAGCGCGACCAATCAATCAATCACCTACGGAAGACAAGAACTGATCCGGAACGTAACAGGTACTCGTACCAAGCCAAAAAAAACGCGGGGAGCAGCGGAATTCAGTCAACCCGTTGCTTCTTCGTCTCTGACTCCCCTTCGGGAGTCGCTTCCACCCCGTCCATAACCTCCTCCCGGTCCCTCTTTCCGTTCTCTTTCAACACGTCAGGAGACTTCGACCCCACAAGCTCTGTCGCATTCGCAGCCGCCGAACCCGCGTGCGCGGATACGGGGACAGGCGCGGCGGCAGATGGTGCAGATGTGGCTGGCGCTGGAAGGTTTGCGTTAGCGGTCGAGGCTGCGTTGGCCACAGCCGCGGCCGCGGCCGCAGCAGCAGCACTCAACGGCAAGCCCCGCTGC